TCACTGGTATCGATGAAAACAGTGAGAGTACAGCAAACCTGTACATGTGGACGGAGGGTATCCATACCATCTCACAACCATGCTTTGGAGCGGTCTCAGTACGAGCAGACAAAGAGATCGATGTATCGATCTTTTACCGTGTGACCTTGAAACTACTACTACGTACATTAATATTTATTTAATATTATAAACAAGCATCGATGTAAAACGTAAGATGAAAACCATGAATTGTTTCTACGTAAACGTCATCATATTCACGACTACTTTAAGTCATTAATTTCGTCCAATCACAGTCGTCATCGAGGAAATCATATGAAAATATACAATTCTTATGCATCAAATGCTGCATCATCGTTTTTTTAATGCATTTATATTTTATTAAAACATTAAAACAGAATGTTCTTCATAATTTTAATTGCAATATATAAGGGATACATATAAGTTTAGATTCATAAAATTTGAAATAACAAGTTTATATGCAAAAAGACATGTGATTGGTTGGACCGTTAGCTGTAAGAAAATTTCATCCTTGTAAAATTTTTTAATGATATAGCTTATATATTGCAAATGTAAAAGGAGGAGGGGAATGATCAATTCTGATTGGTGAATTTCTTTAGGTCTTACGTACTACATCTTACGTCATGGAAAATAAATTCGTCGTTGCAGTCATCCTATTTGTTTGAAACAAAAAACCAAAGATTTTTTTTTAATTTATATGAGTACAGTTATCGTTTGATAACTAACCAAATCATTGAAATCAAAGTTCGATTTTTTGGAAAAACTTTTCATCAAAATAAGAGGACCAAAAGTAAATATCCAAACTATCGATATAATTTTAGTTCCATCTATAGTTTTATACACTTGTTTCTTTTTTTAAATTTACTTGTTATTTTTGTAAAATTGCAAATCCATTGGCCTAATAATTTTTCAGAAAAATATGTAAACAATCTGGAAAATGTTATTTCGAGAAATACTCATTTAAAAATTTCCATGTGTTACAATAAGTGCAACAGAAGTTACGATAACGACTAATAACGAGTATAAGGATTAATAAAGCCTTTCAGTAACTTACCAATAATCAGTTATACTAGAACTGTAAAAAGAATTTTCCTCAATTTTCGAAAAACTCTTATAAAATATCTGCTTTATCTTTTCTGCAATAACATTTCCTTTGCTATATCCATTTTCTTTTATTGTCAACTAAATCTTGATGATTGTTTGTTCTTCATATTATTCCGAAGTGTCAGACTTATCTTTTTATAAATTAAATGATTGGTAAAAAACTCAATTTCTTCGATAACTATATCGATAACTTCATATTTACTATATAGTTCAACATGAATGGTGACTCCAAATAGCGAGCTGAAACATTTTTTTTTTATGAAACAACTCCAGACATGGTCAATTCAGATGTTGTATTACCGTATTTCCTTTTCTCTACCTCGCCGGCTTTTATTGAATGTCATAGACTGGTTCGCATGAACAATGATTATTTTCAAGGCATGCGTAATATATTTTTACAGTAAGTCCTTGACTAGTATTCATAATTCCATAGAATAAAGCGAATCTCTTTAATCGAATGCTTAAAAGTCACATGGCAAAAATTATTCTTCAGTTTATTTCAAAAGTTTTATCAATCAAAGGACATAAGCTGATATAAATTATAACAACTTCATTAACGCAATCCAGAACTGTATTTCATGCCATTTTAAAATCCAATCTACTTTTTTAAATAAAAGTTATATCTTTTTTATACTTTTTATATATATAAGAATGCACTGATAACAGAGAAAACCCAAAAAAAGTTTAGGATACTATAGTTATCTTCTTTGTTTATATAAAACTTATCATTTATACTATCTCTTAAATTTTGTTTCCTGATATATTGCTATATTCAATGTCAGTTTCGAAATTGTATCGATTTCCGCAAAACATTCTATTTTCTGATACTATTTTATGCGCGTGCTAACCTTGTTCGCCTTTTCTATCAATTTTTCAAAATTTCACGTCTACTTCGTTCAAAGTTCAAAAGTAACTCGTTAAGTAAATCGTTGTAACGGAAATGTAATGTCAAATAGAATCAATGAAAGGGATAAAGAATAAGTCGGAAAGGACGAAAAAAAGAGTAGACGAAACAATTTTTTACGACGCCGTGGTCTGTAAATCTGTATAACTTTAAAAGTATTATAACTGACATCTTAATATTTTAAGGACCTATTTTAGAGATTCCAAATAATAAGAAAAATAAAAATGTAAGATGTAGTACGTATTTTAGAGATTTCAAATTGTAAGAAAAATAAAAAACATTTCGAATTCTTAAATGACTGGGAAAAAATATTTTCTTAATACGCCATCTAGTAGTAATTATACGTACGAAGAATTACTATCGCGTAGACAGTCGGACCACCTCTAATGATTTCTCCCACTATCGATCCTCTGTCCAATCAACGATCAGTACGGGTACCCTACAGAATATATAAACAATGGGTTGTTGGTGAAGTTATTATTAGGTTGGAAACTTTGAAATGGGCGTTTCTGGTTTAGTCTGTGTTTAGCTGTGACTGAGAGAGATACATTGTAATGTGCGCTCGATGTTTTAATTTATAAAGCTTTTAAAGGTATTCTTCTTACTCATTTTGTAAAATTTTTTCATATTTGTATCCCATTTTTATATTATTTTTATCCTAAACCAGATGGAAACAAAACGCGATTTACATTTACTCTTCTTGTACGAGTTTAAATTAAATCATACCGCAGCTCAAGCTTCAACAAATATTAATCAGGCATTCGGAGATGGATCCACCAATGAAAAAAATGCTCGATATTGGTTCCAAAAATTTCGTTCTGGTAATTTGAGTATCGTCAATGAGCCGCGAGGAAGACCATCGGTTCGTATTGATAACGAGGTATTAAGGAAGACTGTGGAATCCAATCCACACATAACTAGTCGAATACTTGGATCTAAACTAGGAACTAGTCATACAGCTGTGTTAAAGCGTTTGCGTGCAATAAATAAAGTCAAAGAATAATTTCTCAGCTGTTCGTGGAGTAAGTTATTTATCGTCGATTTTAAGAATGGCTTGTACTAAGCAAACCGCGCGAAAGTCAACTGGAGGAAAGGCTCCTCGGAAGCAATTGGCTACCAAGGCAGCTCGAAAGAGTGCGCCTGCAACTGGTGGAGTAAAGAAACCACATCGTTATAGGCCAGGCACTGTGGCTCTTCGAGAAATTCGTCGTTATCAAAAGAGCACTGAATTACTTATCCGAAAGTTACCATTCCAACGTCTCGTACGTGAAATTGCTCAAGATTTCAAGACCGATTTAGTTCAGCTGTAATAGCTCTTCATGAAGCTAGTGAAGCATACTTAGTTGGGTTATTTAAAGATACCAATCTTCGTCCCATTCACGCAAAACGTGTTACCATCATGCCTAAAGATATTCAATTGGCACGACGAATTAGAGGAGAAAGAGCTTAATTTGTTCAGGTTTCAAATAATAAAAAACTGCCCTTATCAGGGCCAGCATTTCTTTTATGATAGGCTTATTCTCATTCACAAATAAAAATATACATCTATCAATAAATATTCCCATTACAACGTACATTTTTTCTTAATAAAATTTAGGAAATAAGTTTAAAAAGTTAAATATACTTATACTGAATTTTTTTGCAAATTATTTTCATATATCAATGTGGTATGACAATAGAACACTAAGAATGATAATAAAAATGGCAGTTATTCTCATACCAATAATTACTTTTTTCTGATAGACATTGTAAGATAAGAAAGGAATGTTTCTTTTTTTATATATACAGATAGTGCTGATAATAAAGATCTTTAAGATACAGATATTATTCCTACTGAAAAACTTCATATAATAAAATATTTATATTGTTTTAAATAGGTGCATGGATATTTAACATATTTTCCAAAAATCCTGTTAACTATGGTAGACACCACAGTTCAGTTTACAATATAACATCATCATTGTGTTAAAAATGACATGTCACAATACCATTGAATTCATATGTAAACATTATGTTTAATTCTCGTGCATAAATTTAACAAATAACAAGATTAGATCGGTTATCAAATTTCATAACAGAAAATTTCCAGACAAAGATAACAATAAATTGATCAATACATAACAACTTATAATAGTATTATTCCTAATAAAAGCCTTTGTCAGGGATTAGCTTATTGATTGTTTTTTTGAAGGCATTGCTTATTGAAGACATACTTTTAAACTAAGGAAGAATTTTAAACTAAGGAAGAAGTTTGGTTTATATTTTTGCTGTTAAAAACATTCTAACATAGTTATTTTAGGTTCTGCTTCAACTTCTGAAAGATAGTATGCATCGTTGTTCAATATCTTTTTTTTTCTATTTGATTTAGAGCATCAATTAATTTTCATGCATGAATAATGTAGCTCTTACAATTAGAAATTATCATCTTTGAATGATTTATTCTTTGTATAATTTTAAAAATATATACGATGAAATTTGGATTTATTTAAAACTCTATTATTTGCTAGATGTAAAGATATTCAGACAAGCATCAAATTTATTTATTGTAATAGTCTTTATTAAAATTTATTAATAAAGACATAATAAACATATACATGAATTCACTAAAAGCAAATAGATAATATATCCGATATAATGAATACATTTAAATACGTACTCTTCATATAATTAATATTTTTATAAAATTCATCAAATCAGTTTGTAGATTTATAATAATATAAAAAGAAAGTAAATATTGTAATGTTATACATTTATTTAAGGTTTGAAAATTTATTTAATGTTTAGATCATTATATAAATAATTTTTTACAATTTGACTAACGAGAAATAACTTTGTAAAATATTTTTCATATTATTGAACGTCTGAGCGAGTGAATTAGACGAAAGAACTCGTGTTGCGTCTCCAGGCTCTCTGATTGGTGCATTGCATTTGGTGGGGGAAAAGGTTAGTTGCCAGATATAAATAGAACAATATCCAGTATTCTGAGTCATTCCAACGATTGCTGTGGTTCCGTAAGGTTCTGTTCTCATCTGATCTTATTTACTTTTGTAAAAATTTTACAATGACTGGTCGAGGAAAGGGAGGAAAAGGATTGGGAAAGGGAGGTGCCAAGCGTCACAGGAAAGTTCTTCGTGATAACATCCAAGGTATCACCAAGCCTGCTATTCGTCGTTTGGCCCGGCGAGGTGGTGTGAAACGTATTTCTGGATTGATTTACGAAGAAACTCGTGGCGTATTGAAAGTTTTCCTGGAAAACGTTATTCGTGATGCAGTCACGTACACCGAACACGCTAAGAGAAAGACTGTGACAGCCATGGACGTCGTCTACGCTCTGAAACGTCAAGGACGTACTCTTTATGGATTTGGTGGTTAAATATCTGCATAAGAATAGATGCAGAATCTTCTCCAGTCATTTTTTGATTATAAACGGCCCTTTTCAGGACCACAACATTTTCTTTAACGAATTGGAACTTCTAATACACTATGTGATATTATACTAATAAATTAACTATAAAACCTCATCTATGTGACATTGACTTAAATTTTTATATTTATTAAAACAATATTTTAATTATATTTGGTTACGTTTATTTTTGTTCTCGTTATAAAAAGAGTTCTGTAATTATTATTTGAAAATTATTTCTTTGTTAAGGTACAATTTCTTTTCTTGCATTATGCATCCAATGTATAGTAATTCGATGTTGTTATATATCTGTTTTAAAAATTAAAGTCAAATGTATTACATTTTCTCATCGTAATTCACATTTTCTTTGCAGAAAACTGGTTTATAATTAATCTTATATTAACGAAAAGTCGGAAAATAAAGAATACTCGAAGATCAATAAAAATATGTACAAAAAATTTTGTCTGTATAATAATATCGTTCTAAATCTTAATTTATAGAAAGTTTAATACGTAGATTAATACTTTGTATGGAGATGCGAATGAAATTTGTGTCTCGAAAAAAGAGCTGTGATTATCGTTCTTTTTCCTCAATTTTGTTTGAACAAGTGAACAAATTTAACAATTATATGACAAGAAAGAAGGGAAAAAATTGCAATGCAATTCTAACTGCATACTAAACTAGTTTTATAATGTTATAGAGAAGTAATCAAATTTGTTGAAGGAAACATTTAGCCAAAGGAAATACTCAAGATAACTGCTAACTAAATTATTTTGAATTACCTATTTGCAAGTGTTTTGTATTTTCCAATTTACTTTATCAATTAATTACTTTTACATAACTGTAATTTATTCTACAATTCAAGCTAATTTTATAAATGTTATTTTATTTAATATATTTGTTATTGTTTCATTTGTTTTTTTTATTTTTTGTATTATTTAATTATTATTTTATTATTTTATTTTTTAATTTGACAGAAATTATGCTATACGAAAAAAGAAAGGAATAAAAATGACTTCATTGTAAACTTAAAAAAAATTGTTTCCGTTATATAGAACATTGTAATTCCGTCTTTACCCGATAGGAGCGCTGTAGAAGTTTAAGATTCTCTGGAACATTTCTATTGGTCCCTTTCAACATAAGAGGAACTGTATAAATACAACAACGCCGCTACACGTTGTTACTTCTGAAATAGAGCTCGCAGTGCTCGTTCTGATTAAGTAAATTTATATTTTTAAAGAGCTTCGATATGTCTGGACGTGGAAAAGGTGGTAAGGTCAAGGGAAAGACGAAGTCACGGTCAAATAGAGCTGGATTACAATTTCCGGTTGGCCGTATCCATCGTCTTTTAAGGAAAGGTAATTATGCTGAACGCGTTGGGGCTGGTGCGCCAGTTTACTTGGCAGCAGTGATGGAATATCTGGCTGCTGAAGTTCTCGAATTGGCCGGAAATGCAGCTCGCGATAACAAAAAAACTAGAATTATTCCAAGACATTTACAATTGGCGATTCGAAATGACGAAGAATTAAATAAATTGTTGTCTGGCGTGACTATTGCTCAGGGTGGTGTCTTGCCGAACATACAGGCTGTTTTGCTTCCAAAGAAGACAGAAAAGAAAACATAATTAAAAATTTGCAAACTAAAACGGCCCTTTTTAGGGCCACCAAATTGATTTCTTCTTAAGGAATTATTTCGTTTGAATCGTATTATTAATAATTTGTTGTAAATGAAAATATATCTTTCGAATATTTACAAATTTTATTTCTAACATTTAAGAATAATTCTCATCTTTTTTTTAATGAAATTCTAAAACAATGATATCAAAAGTTTTATTATACAAAATTAAGTCTATTAAATTAAAGCAGATTTGTTTAACCATTTGTTTAAAATAAATATGTGAACAATTTATTTCTAAATCGCGTTAGTATTTCACAAAAAATATACACAAGATAAGCATAATAATATCTGGCAACGTTGTAATGAAAGAATGTGTAACAAATCCACGTAAGGATTTGGCAACACCGTATGAGACACAGTTGGTCATCGTAAGTTGCATTCGAGTCGATACTACCTTCATGTTTACTTGTCGACAAGATAAAATTATACTTTGAAAAATTATTTTCAAGTTTTTAATTGTATAGAAATTATATATTGTAATAAGTAGAATGATTAATAAAATAATGATTATTAATTCATAAGGGTATAGTTTTTTGTAGGATTACTTTATACAATTACTTTATATCAAACAAACAATATTGTTATTTTTTATAAAGATAAAAGTACATAACATACTTGATATTACCTAATATTTAAAATTCATAATGTACATGAACATATAAAGTATATATAAGCCCTTTGTTTCTAAACGTAAATTGTTGAATTGTACTCGCAATCAATTCGATTCTAATTATTCACGTATATAATTATTTAATCTTAAATATCTTTCACACCACAAGCCAATAAATTCGTATTTAAGACAAGAAATATCACAAAAATGAAAAAAGTTTAAAATATAGAACTTCTGGATTAAGGTAATACTTCTGGACTAAAATTAATAACATCGTTGTTGACCACGACAGAATTTTCAACTTCCGTTTCATCTTTATTATTGTTCGAGGATTTATAAATCAGTATAGAACTAGTAGCCGCAGGATGAGTGTCACTGGTATCGACGAAAACAGTGAGAGTACAGCAAACCTGTACACGTGGACAGAGGGTATCCCTACCATCTCACAACCATGCCTTGGGGCGGTCTCAGTACGAGCAGACAAAGAGATCGATGTATCGATCTTTTACCGTGTGACCTTGAAACTACTACTACGTACATTAATATTTATTTAATATTATAAACAAGCATCGATGTAAAACGTAAGATGAAAACCATGAATTGTTTCTACGTAAACGTCATCATATTCACGACTACTTTAAGTCATTAATTTCGTCCAATCACAGTCGTCATCGAGGAAATCATATGAAAATATACAATTCTTATGCATCAAATGCTGCATCATCGTTTTTTTAATGCATTTATATTTTATTAAAACATTAAAACAGAATGTTCTTCATAATTTTAATTGCAATATATAAGGGATACATATAAGGTTAGATTCATAAAATTTGAAATAACAAGTTTATATGCAAAAAGACATGTGATTGGTTGGACCGTTAGCTGTAAGAAAATTTCATCCTTGTAAAATTTTTTAATGATATAGCTTATATATTGCAAATGTAAAAGGAGGAGGGGAATGATCAATTCTGATTGGTGAATTTCTTTAGGTCTTACGTACTACATCTTACGTCATGGAAAATAAATTCGTCGTTGCAGTCATCCTATTTGTTTGAAACAAAAAACCAAAGATTTTTTTTTAATTTATATGAGTACAGTTATCGTTTGATAACTAACCAAATCATTGAAATCAAAGTTCGATTTTTTGGAAAAACTTTTCATCAAAACAAGAGGACCAAAAGTAAATATCCAAACTATCGATATAATTTTAGTTCCATCTATAGTTTTATACACTTGTTTTTTTTTTTAAATTTACTTGTTATTTTTGTAAAATTGCAAATCCATTGGCCTAATAATTTTTCAGAAAAATATGTAAACAATCTGGAAAATGTTATTTCGAGAAATACTCATTTAAAAATTACCATGTGTTACAATAAGTGCAACAGAAGTTACGATAACGACTAATAACGAGTATAAGGATTAATAAAGCCTTTCGGTAACTTACCAATAATCAGTTATACTAGAACTGTAAAAAGAATTTTCCTCAATTTTCGAAAAACTCTTATAAAATATCTGCTCTATCTTTTCTGCAATAACATTACCTTTGCTATATCCATTTTCTTTTATTGTCAACTAAATCTTGATGATTGTTTGTTCTTCATATTATTCCGAAGTGTCAGTCTTATCTTTTTATAAATGAAATGATTGGTAAAAAAACTCGATTTTATACTTATTGTATAATTCAATGTGAATGGTGACTCCAAATAGCGAGCTGAAACATTTTTTTTTTTACGTACCAACTCCGGACATGGTTAATTCAGACGTTGTATTATCGTATTTCCTTTCCTCTACCTCACCGGCTTTTATCGTCACAATGTCATAAACTGGTTCGCATGAACAATGATTATTTTCAAGGCATGCGTAATATATTTTTACAGTAAGTCCTTGACTAGTATTCATAATTCCATAGAATAAAGCGAATCTCTTTAAACCAATGCTTAAAAGTCACATGGCAAAAATTATTCTTCAGTTTATTTCAAAAGTTTTATCAATCAAAGGACATAAGCTGATATAAATTATAACAACTTCATTAACGCAACCCAGAACTGTATTTCATGCCATTCTAAAATTCAATCTACTTGTTTAAATAAAAGTTATATCTTTTTTATACTTTTTATATATATAAGAATGCACTGATAACAGAGAAAACCCAAAAAAAGTTTAGAATACTATAGTTATCTTCTTTGCTTATATAAAATTTATCATTTATACTATCCCTCAAATTTTGTTTCCTCATATATTGCTATATTTCGAAATTGTATCGATTTCCGCAAAACATTCTATTTTCTAATACTATCTTATGCGCGTGCTAACCTTGTTCGCCTTTTCAATCAATTTTTCAAAATTTCACGTCTACTTCGTTCAGAGTTCGAAAGTATACTAATCGTTGTAACGGAAATGTTACGTCTAATAGAATCAAAGAAAAAGGACAAAGAATAAGTCGGTAAGGACGAAAAAAAGAGTCGACAAAACAATTTTTTGCGACGCCGTGGTCTCTAAATCTGCATAACTTTAAAAGTATTATAACTGACATCTTAATATTTTAAGAACCTATTTTAGAGATTCAAAATTGTAAGAAAAATAAAAAATATTTTGAATTCTTGAATGCCTAGAAAGAAATATTGTCTTACGACGCCATCTAGTAGTAATCATACGTACGAAGAATTTCTATCGCGTAGAAAGTCGGACCACCTCTAATAATTTCCCCCACTATCGATCCTCTGTCCAATCAACGATCAGTACGGGTACCCTACAGAGTATATAAACAGAAGGTTTCTACTGAAGAGTTATTAGTTTCTCAGCTGTTCGTTTAGTAAGTTATTTATCGTCGTTTTTAAGAATGGCTCGTACTAAGCAAACCGCGCGAAAGTCAACTGGAGGAAAGGCTCCTCGGAAGCAATTGGCTACCAAGGCAGCTCGAAAGAGTGCGCCTGCAACTGGTGGAGTAAAGAAACCACATCGTTATAGGCCAGGCACTGTGGCTCTTCGAGAAATTCGTCGTTATCAAAAGAGCACTGAATTACTTATCCGAAAGTTACCATTCCAACGTCTCGTACGTGAAATTGCTCAAGATTTCAAAACTGATTTACGTTTCCAAAGTTCAGCTGTAATGGCTCTTCAAGAAGCTAGTGAAGCATACTTAGTTGGGTTATTCGAAGATACTAATCTTTGTGCCATTCACGCAAAACGTGTTACCATCATGCCTAAAGATATTCAATTGGCACGACGAATTAGAGGAGAAAGAGCTTAATTTGATCAGATTTCAAATACCAAAAAACGGCCCTTTTCAGGGCCAACAATTTTATTTACGATGAACTTATTTCGATTCATAAATAAGATTTATTATTTTCAATATATATTCCTTTTAGGTTTTTATAGTTTATATTTTTATAATTCTTCATATAATTAATTCTTTTATTAAATTTATTAAAATCAGTTTATAGGTTTCTATCAATACCAAAAAACAAAATATTGTAGAATATACATTTCTTGTAGTTTTATTTAATATTTAGATAAATATTTTTACTATTTTACTAAATATGTCTTAATAAATAACGTCGTGAAATATTTTTCAAAGAAATAGATTGCACAGGGTATTTATGCCAGGTATGTTCATTTATGATTTATTTGCTTTTAAGGTCCGGAAATGCTTTTTCTGTCCGCAAATATATGACTTTATGCTTTAACTTTCTTTCTACCTGGATTTGTTATTGTGAAAAATAGATATTTATCTTTTAGGGGAGACTTTTACGAAAACCCCTACCAGGCAGCATAGTACTTCGTTCCTTCTTCGAGTCTTCTTCAGAGTCAATAACTGTACGTTGTTGAGTAAACGTAGAATTTTATAACCGTCGCTTTTAATGATAACGGAATACGCATAGAATAATGAATTAGCATTAAATTTTACCAGAAAACTTGACCGTTCGTATTCGGAAATTATCCACATGCTTCGTAAAATCCATGATGAATCCATGAGTGATATTCGGATCAAAAAATGATTTAGACGATTTAAAAATGATTGTACATCAATTGAAAGCTACTTTCATTCTGGCAGATATTTAAACACCTTAAAACCCTGAAAATGTTGAACTAGTTTATGCTTTAATCAATAAAAATTCAGCAATGACCAAAGAAATAAATTTCTGGCTCTTCGAAATTGTAGAAATCTCTTGAAAGAAAAAAGATTCGATGACTTCGAGAGAATAAAAAAGTTATGCGACGAAGAGACTTCTAGTAATTTCGAAAGCTAAATACAAGAAATGTTTCCAAAAGTGGGACAATCGTAAGAAAATTGTAGTTTTCAATAGTGAGTAGTTTGAAGGGGTCATCTTCGCCATTGATCAGATTTAGCTCTCTCTTTTGTTATAGCATAAGATCGTATATTTTCTGAACGTAAAACTTCGTATATAAAATTTCACAATGACTGATCAAGGAAAGATTTAATGGAAAAAGGATTGGAAAAGAGAGGCACGAAGCTTTAAAGAAAATTCTTAGCGACAACATCGAAAGTATCACCAAACTTGCGATTTGTCATTTTGCTCGTCGAGATAGTGTGAAGCATATATCTAAATTGATTTACGAGGAAACTACTCGTGGGTGTATTGAATGTTTTTCTAGGAAAACGTTATTCCTGATACAGTCACGTACACCGAACACGCTAGCAGAAAGACTGTTACAACCATGAATGCCATCTACGTAAACGTCAAGGACGAACTTTCTAAGGGTTGGTAAATTAAAAACAACCATAAGTGCAGATTCTTTGGTCATCTTTTGATTATGAAAATAGTCCTTTTCAGGGCTATATTTTCATTAATGAATTGGAACTTTTCTGATAATATTAACTATGGTAATAATTCATTTATAAGTAGCGTACTTGGAATTACATATATCTTAATTAACAAAGTGACCTTGAAGATTCAATTGTTATTCCTAATAAAAATATTTTAATTTAAGTTGCTTTAGTTACTAGTGTTCTTTGCTCTTTCAAAAAACATTTTGTTATTTGATTACAAGTTACAAGCCGACATACTTTTTTTAACACAGTTACAGTATATTATGCACGCAACGTAAATAGTAATTTAGCATACTATTTATCTATAAAATACTCATCCGTTCTATTTGTTATCATTAAATAGGAAATGAGAATATAATTAAAAATTAGAATATTTTTATACAAGAACATGTTCAACGTAAAAACTTATTTGGTGGCCCTAAAAAGGACCGGTTTTATAATTCCACCATATTAATCATTTATTTTGAGCTCATGTATTTGGTCACAGCTTTAGTACCTTCGTTAACAGCGTGTTTTGCGATTTCACCAAGTAACAACAAACGCACTGCAGTTTGAATTTCCCGAGAAGTGTTTGTCGAACGTTTATTGTAATGAGCTAATCTCGATGCTTTCGCGGCAATTCGTTCAAAAACATCGTTGACGAAACTATTCGTAATATTCATGGCTTTACTGGAGATTCCAGTATCCAGATGTACTTGTTTAAGTACTTTGTAGATGTAAGTAGCGTAGCTTTCCTTCCTTTACTAATGATTGCGGATTTCAAATAAGAAGAAAAATTCTTAATTTTTGTTTAAAAATATAAATTTATTCAATTAGATACTGTCCGTTCTTGTCGATGACCTTTTGCCATCGTTCTGGCAATGTCAAAATTCCACGTTCGTAAAATTTCTGATCTTTGCTATCAAAAAACTGAATTAAATGTGATCTGACATCATCAGCGTTATCAAAAATTTTATCATTTAAGGAGTTCTGCATAGAGTGAAACAAATGGTAGTTTGAAGGCGCAAGATCAGGGCTATATGGTGGATGTGATAAAACATCCCAACCCAGTTCCAATAATTTTAGGCGAGTGATCAAAGAAGACGTGTGGGGCTTTGTATTATCATGATGGAAAACGATACCCTTAGGATGTGACAATACCGGCCGCTTTTCTTGAATTGCATCGCTCACTTTGGCGAGTTGTTGAACATACACGTTTGAATTGATCGTTTGGTTTTGTGGCATAAGTTCAAAGTACAAAATTCCTTTATAATCCCACCAGACTGACAGCATAATCTTTTTTTGGTGAATATCTGCTTTTGATGTCATTTGGACTGGTTCATCTTCCATCACCCACGATCTCTTCAGATTAACGTTGTTATAAACTATCCACTTTTCGTCGCCAGCAATTAGGCTTTTCAGAAATGGATCAGTTTCGTTGCGTTTCAAAAGCGAATCGCAGATGCTAATGCGTTGCGTCAAATGAATTTCCTCAAGCTGGTGAGGGATCCATAAATCGTATTTCTTGACATAACCAAGCATTTTTAATTTTTTTTCAATGCATGTATGCGATACATTGAGCTGCTCCGCAATATCACGTGTTGTACTATGACGATCTGAATCGACAATGGCCTTGATATGGATCTCATCGACTTCAACTGGACGGCCAGATCGTTGAGCATTTTTCAATGAAAAATCACCAGAACGAAATCTGGCAAACCAATTTTGACACTGCCTTTCTTTCAAGGCTTCATTTCCATATACGGCACATAACTTCTTTCGTGCTTCCGTTGCGTTCATACCTCTTCGGTAGTAATACAATAAAATATGTCTGAAGTGCACGTCTTCTTCTTCCATTTTTAAATTGGGATAAAAACAAAACTAAAGCACTAATCGATATAATTGTTTTAATAAATTATAGGTAGAAGTCCAAATAATAAGAAAAAAATATAGGTTAGATGCAATGACAACGTTAACAAAACAAAAGAAAGTGTAAAATCTATCTATCGACAAAATCCGCAATCACTTCGTTGCCACCACTAGCTTTAGGCAGCATAATGAATAAAAATCTTCGTTTATCACAACAGATTCGATAACACGTATATCTTAGTGAATAACAATCGATCGAGGGGTTTATCTTCTGTTATGTAGTCTGTAGTGACTCCGTCTTCCACCAATAGGAGCGCTTTAGAAACCCAAGTTACTTACCAAGCAATTCCATTGGTCCATTTTTACGTACGAGGAATTGTATAAATACGATAACACGGTTGCGCATCGTTTTCTGAAATAGAGCTAAGAGTGCTCGTTACGATTTTATACATTTATTAGGTTGTTCGGAAAGTAATATCGTTTTTTCTCGACAGAAAATTTAGTTGTATTTTTTTTTGCACCCAACTTCACACTTAAGCCGCATAATTATTATATGTTTTGAGAGTTGATATAGCAAGGCTTGTGTGTGAAAATGTCCAATTGATTCTACACAGTAGTTTTTAGTTGGTGCCCTTTTAAATATGGAGAGCAATAAGCAGCATTTTTGTCATTTTTTACTTTTTTACTGTAGGAAACGTAAAACTGCTGTTTAAGCCAAAAAGAAATTAACCGATGTGTATGGAGAAGATGTATTGACAGTACGCCAGTGCCAGAACTGGTCTGCAAAATTTCGATCCGGCAATCGAAAATGACAAAAAATGTGGAAGATGCACCACTTTTTGGAAGGCCGGTTGAAGGCTGATAAAGACACGATAAAATCATTAATTGATGCAAACCGGCGAATAACAACACGTGAGATCGGTGAAAGGTTAAATTTATCAAATTCAACTGTTTATGACCACTTGAAATGCCTAGGTTTAACCTCGAAGCTTGATATATGGGTTCCTCATGTTCTCACAGAGAGAAATTTGTGTCGTCGCGTTGACGTCTGTAATTCGCTTCTCAAATATCACGAAAATGATCCATTTTTGAAGCGCATCATTATTGGGGATAAAAAATGGGTTGTATATAACAATGTCAAACGCAAGAGATCATGGAGCAAAAAAGATAAATCGGCTCAAAGCATTTCCAAAGCCAATATCCATCAAAAAAACGTGATGCTGTCTGTTTGGTGGAACTTCAAAGGAATCACTTTTTTTATATTTTACCGGATAACACAACAATTAATTCAGAAATATACTGTCATCAGCTGAACAAACTGAATGATGCACTTCAACAGAGAAAGGCCAGAATTAATCAACAGAAAAGGTGTAGTGTTTCTTCAAGATAATACGAGACCTCATACAGTTTGGTCATCCACCAAAAGCTTTTACAGCTTGAATAGGATACAATGCCACACCCACCTTATTCTTCAGATCTGACACCTTCGGATTATTATTTGTTCTGGTCACTGCAAAATTTTTTAAACGGAAAAAACCTTCACTACAAATGAGGAGATCAAAGACCACCTCGATCACTTTTTTGCCAGCAAAGGCCAAAAATTTTATGAGCGTGCAATCATGCTACTACTAGAAAGATGGCAAAAGGTATTAGACCAAAATGGCCAATATATAATTTAATAAAATATTTGTTCTGTATACGAAAATTGTCTTTCATTTCCACAAAAAAAAAAACGAAATTATTTTTTCTTAGCTATTCGTTGAGTAAGTTATTTATCGACGATTTTAAGAATGACTCGTACTAAGCAAACCGCGCGAAAGTCAACTGGAGGAATGGCCCCACGAAAGCAATTGGATACCAAGGCAGCTCGAAAGAGTGCGCCTCCTGCAACTTGTGGAGTAAAGAAATCACATCGTTATAGGCCAGGCACTGTGGCTCTTCGTGAAATTCGTCGTTATCAAAAGAGCACTGAATTACTTATCCGAAAGTTACCATTCCAACGTCTCGTACGTGAAATTGCTCAAGATTTCAAAACCGATTTACGTTTCCAAAGTTCAGCTATAATAGCTTTTCAAGAAACTAGTGAAGCATACTTAGTTGAATTATTTGAAGATACTAATCTTTGTACCATTCACGCAAAACGTGTTACCATTATGCCTACAAATATTCAATTGGCACGACGAATTAGAGGAGAAAGAAGCTTAATTTGATCAGATTTCAAATAACAAAAAACGGCCCTTATCAGGGCCAACAATTTTATTTACGATGAACTTATTTCGATTCATAAATAAGACTTATTATTTTCAATAAATATTTCTTTTAGGTTTTTATAGTTTATATTTTTATAACTCTTCGTATAATTAATTTTCTTATTAAATTCATTAAAATCAGTTTATAGGTTTCTATTAATATCAAAAAACGAAATATTGTAGAATATACATTTTTTGTTATTTTATTTAATATTTAGATAAATATTTTTACTATTTTACTAAATATGTCTTAATAAATAACTTCGTGAAATATTTTTCAAAGAAATAGATTGCACAGGGGGTTTATGCCAGGTATGTTCATTTATGATTTATTTGCTTTTAAGGTCCGGAAATGCTTTTTCTGTCCGCAAATATATGACTTTATGCTTTAACTTTCTTTCTACCTGGATTTGTTATTGTGAAAAATAGATATTTATCTTTTGGGGGAGACTTTTACGAAAACCCCTACCAGGCAGCATAGTACGTCGTTCCTTCTTCGAGTCTTCTTCAGTCAAAACTGTACGTTGTTGAGTAAACGTAGAATTTCGTAACCATCGCATTTAATGATAACGGAATACGCATAGAATAATGAATTAGCATTAAATTTTACCAGAAAACTTGACCGTTCGTATTTGGAAATTATCCACATGCTTCGTAAAATCCATGATGAATCCATGAGTGATATTCGGATCAAAAAATGATTTAGACGATTTAAAAATGATTGTACATCAATTGAAAGCTACTTTCATTCTGGCAGATATTTAAACACCTTAAAACCCTGAAAATGTTGAACGAGTTTATGCTTTAATCAATAAAAATTCAGCAATGACCAAAGAAATAATTTTCTGGCTCTTCGAAATTGTAGAAATCTCTTGAAAGAAAAAAGATTCGATGACTTCGAGAGAATAAAAAAGTTATGCGACGAAGAGACTTCTAGTAATTTCGAAAGCTAAATACAAGAAATGTTTCCAAAAGTGGGACAATCGTAAGAAAATTGTAGTTTTCAATGGTGAGTAGTTTGAAGGGGTCATCTTCGCCATTGATCAGATTTAGCTCTTTCTTTTGTTATAGCATAAGATCGTATATTTTCTGAACGTAAAACTTCGTATATAAAATTTCACAATGACTGATCAAGGAAAGATTTGATGGAAAAAGGATTGGAAAGGAGAGGTACGAAGCTTTAAAGAAAATTCTTAACGACAACATCGAAAGTATCACCAAACTTGCGATTTGTCATTTTGCTCGTCGAGATAGTGTGAAGCGTATATCTAAATTGATTTACGAGGAAACTACTCGTGGGTGTATTGAATGTTTTTCTAGGAAAACGTTATTCCTGATACAGTCACGTACACCGAACACGCTAGCAGAAAGACTGTTACAACCATGAATGCCGTCTACGTAAACGTCAAGGACGAACTTTCTAAGGGTTGGTAAATTAAAAACAACCATAAGTGCAGATTCTTTGGTCATCTTTTGATTATGAAAATAGTCCTTTTCAGGGCTATATTTTCATTAATGAATTGGAACTTTTCTGATAATATTAACTATGGTAATAATTCATTTATAAGTAGCGTACTTGGAATTACATATATCTTAATTAACAAAGGGACCTTGAAGATTCAATCGTTATTCATAATAAAACCATTTTAATTTAAGTTGCTTTAGTTACTAGTGTTCTTTGCTTTTTCAAAAAAAATTTTGTTATTTTATTACAAGTTACAAGCCGACATACTTTTTTTAACGCAGTTACAGTATATTATGCACGCAATGTAAATAGTAATTTAACATACTATTTATTTATAAAATTCTCATTCATTCCATTTGTTATCATTAAATAGAAAATGACAATATAATTAAAAATTAGAATATTTTTATACAAGAACATGTTCAACGTAAAAACTTATTTGGTGGCCCTAAAAAGGGCCGGTTTTATAATTCCACGATTTTAATCATTTATTTTGAGCTTGTGTATTTGGTCACAGCTTTAGTACCTTCGCTAACAGCGTGTTTTGCGAGCTCACCAGGTAACAACAAACGCACTGCAGTTTGAATTTCTCGAGAAGTGATTGTTGAACGTTTATTGTAATGAGCTAATCTCGATGCTTCCGCGGCAATTCGTTCAAAAACATCGTTGACAAAACTATTCATAATACTCATGGCTTTACTGGAAATTCCAGTATCCGGATGGACTTGCTTAAGTACTTTGTAGATGTAAATAGCATAACTTTCCTTCCTCTTACGCTTCTTCTTTTTGTCGGATTTACTAATATTCTTCTGAGCTTTGCCAGCTTTTTTAACAGCTTTACCACTAGCTTTAGGCGGCATAATGAAAACAAATCTTTGTTTATCGCAACAGATTCGACACCACGTATAGCTTAGCGAATAATAACCCTTCGCTGGGTTTGTCTCTTGTTATGTACTCTGTAGTGAGTCTGTCTTCCACCAATAGGAGCGATATAGAATCCCCAGAACCTCCCGAGCAATTTCATTGGTCCGTTTCGACGTACGAGGAACCGTATAAATACGATAACTCCATTGTACATCGTTATTTCTGAAACAGAGTTAGGAGCGTTCATTACGATTTTACAGGTTACAATTTTTATTAAAGAACTACGATATGTCCGGACGTGGAAAAGGTGGTAAGGTGAAGGGAAAGGCAAAGTCACGATCAAATAGAGCAGGATTACAATTTCCGGTTGGCCGTATTCATCGGCTTTTAAGGAAAGGTAATTATGCCGAACGAGTTGGAGCTGGAGCGCCAGTTTACTTAGCAGCAGTGATGGAATATCTGGCTGCTGAAGTTCTCGAATTGGCGGGAAATGCTGCTCGTGATAACAAAAAGACAAGAATTATTCCAAGACATTTGCAATTGGCGATTCGAAATGACGAAGAATTAAATAAACTGTTGTCTGGTGTAACTATTGCTCAGGGTGGTGTCTTGCCGAATATACAAGCTGTTTTGCTTCCAAAGAAGACAGAGAAGAAAACATAATTAAAAATATGCAAATAGAAACGGCCCTTTTTAGGGCCACCAAATTGATTTTTTTCTTAAGGAATCACTTCGTTTCGATTACAAGAACGCTATATTATATAAAATATAAGGACAGGGTATATATATAATATTTGCGTAAATAACCCGAAATTATGGCCTTAAGAGACGCGCTAAGAGACGAATATATCGCTTTACTTTACAGATACCGATAAAAGATTAAAGTTTCCGGCTGACTAAGTGCTCGTAGATCTGGTATTGGAAACACTGAATATTCTTTGTTCGAAAGTATCTTCTAGTATATACTTGTACTGAAGACTAAGCGTATTTTATTGATATCATTGAAAAATCTTCCCAAGGGATAGAAGTAGAAAAAAGGATTTTCATTATATTGAGTGATAGAGAAAAACTCTTTTTGCAATATGATTTATTAAGAGACCCATTTGTTAAGTTTTTATTTATCGGTTCTCTATCTTTTAGATTTAGAACTGGCGAGTTAAATAAATTCAGCCGAGTATTTTAAAGTAATAATTCCTAATTAAATTCAATAATTATTTGAGTTTGAAAAATAAAGGTAATAATTTTATAAAGAATGCTAGAAAGAGTTAAATTTATATCAAGATAAAGTTAAGTAAACAATGTTGATTAATACTAAGCGCATATATAACTGAAAAGAAAATATCGCATTGATTACTCTAACCAAAGCTAAACAATCTATATACCACGAGAACTCACGTTCAAATCATTGGAATTACTTTGTTTTTTGGTCCATTCGTATTTGAATGATGTTTAAAACGAAACATGAATCGGAGGACAATAGCTACGGAGTAATTATTTTATATTAAGGAGACGAATAAACGATGAGACGAAAGTTTATCTGTAATAATTTGAAAAATATTTCATCGTAGTCAATAATTTGAAAAGTAATTTCTCCGTAAACAAACTTATCAAAAATTATTCTTAAAATCATTTTTTCTAATAATTTGAAAAATAAATGAATTCCAATACATGGTTACAATTCTTATTTATGAATCGGAATAAGCCCATCGTAAATAAATTGTTGGCCCTGATAAGGGCCGTTTTTTGTTATTTGAAATCTGATCAAATTAAGCTCTTTCTCCTCTAATTCGTCGTGCCAATTGAATATCTTTAGGCATGATGGTAACACGTTTTGCGTGAATGGCACAAAGATTAGTATCTTCGAATAACCCAACTAAGTATGCTTCACTAGCTTCTTGAAGAGCCATTACAGCTGAACTTTGGAAACGTAAATCGGTTTTGAAATCTTGAGCAATTTCACGTACGAGACGTTGGAATGGTAACTTTCGGATAAGTAATTCAGTGCTCTTTTGATAACGACGAATTTCTCGAAGAGCCACAGTGCCTGGCCTATAACGATGTGGTTTCTTTACTCCACCAGTTGCAGGCGCACTTTTTCGAGCTGCCTTGGTAGCCAATTGCTTCCGAGGAGCCTTTCCTCCAGTTGACTTTCGTGCAGTTTGCTTAGTACGAGCCATTCTTAAAATGAACGATATACAACTTACTCAATGGATAGCTGAGAAACCAATAACTCGTTGGCTGCAAACTGCCGTTTATATATACTCTAGGGTTCCCATACTGATCGTTGATTGGACGAAGGTTCGGTAGTGGGGGAAATCATTAGAAGTGGTCAGACTTTCTACGCGGGAAAATCTATTTGTACATTTATATATAGTAATTTTATTAAATGATTTATTAAAGGGGAAAACTAATTTAGATGGCTCAAAAAAATCGAAATTTTTTTTATTGCATAAATTTGTTAATAAAACTATTTAAGAATATGTATCTAAAATTTCAAAGAAACATTCCAATTCGTTTTGATGTTATGAACGGTAAAGTGGACGCCACTTGGTTCAGTGGCGAAACGTGCGGCAGGTAAAACGGAGCGGTCGTTCAAACAGTCGCTTTCGTATTCACATATCTAGCTCAATACTAATATGCTATAGGATATTTAGAGGGAAGAGAGACGTCGATAGATGTTCTAGTTTCCTTTTTTTTTTTTCTCACAATAGAGATCTTAGATAGAAGGTACTGGAAAGATTGAAGATGCATTGGCATCATTTTGACAACGTCGATTAGCATCACTTTAGCTCCAATCTTTGTAATATATTTTGAAAGTTAAGATACAAAATCTCAACGTATCCGTTAAGTGAATGTGATACTTCGATTCGCAGAAGTAGACAACGTAAAAGATCCTTTCACGGATATCAGTTCTCTAAAAGTGAATCAAGTGAACGTGACAGAGATGAAGAAAGTACCAGCGCAAAAAAAACTTTCAGTGAGAGTATAATTGTTAATTCTCTCTATTGCTATAGGATCATTGAATTTTTCATTGAGTTACAAGCAGGATGTTAAATTTACGGAAACTGGAATACGTGGCCTCGGATTCATGCTTTTTATCAATTACGATTGTAATTGAAATCAGAACAAGTCACTAAACAAAGACAATAAAACAAATCAGAACAAGTTCTTTAATAATAGAAGAAGAAAAAAAAAGAGAATGAAAAACACGAAAAATTTATTCTGAATTTCAAAGTATTTGATAATGGAAGAAACAAGGATTTAAATCATTATTTGGTATATTTTATAGCATTATAGCATATTAATCTGAAAAAGTCATCGGATCTGGTTGTACGAAGCAATTATTGTCATGCAAGTGCATTATGAAGGAACTAGTCAAAAACTTTACTAGAATATCTAAGCATAAAAAGAGAATTATGAGTTGCGCAAAAATCCATGAATGATCTGAGGGAAACATATGTGAATCTAATTCTGGGATAATATATTTTTTTTGTTGCAAAGCAATTATAAAAAAAATGACAGAAAATGATATTTTTTTGCTTAAACATTTCTAAAACATATAATTTTAAACTTTTTTGATCAGAGTTAGATTCACGTTTTTAGAAAATATGTTTTTAATGTAATTGGAAAATCGTATTGATTTCAGATGAAAATGATCGCCTCCAGAATATACAGAGATAACAAAGTTATCATTTGATGGCGACCTTCGATGGGCTTATACATTAAATATTTTCAAAGAAAATAGATTAAAAATATTAAAAGATATATTTGAAAATATAAATAAAATATTTTTCAAATTCAAACAAATTCTATTCATTCATTCCTTGTCAAAAGAAAATCATGAAAATCATTAAAAAACGGACTTCTGAACTGGCCCCCTCCCCTCTTAATTGTAAATAATGCAACAATGACGGACATAAATTAAAATATTTATGTAATATAAAATAACAGCAATTGTTATTGTTAGATAATTGTAAATATTATGGCAATATTATGTCACATGCCAGGAATAATAGAATTGTAAATTTAAGAAGTTTTTACAAATGAACTGAATATTTATTCTAATCACCTCAGAGTGTAACACTGAATATATATTATGCATATTTATCTTTAAAGGAAGTAAGCAAAAGTTTGATTTGTTCAATATAAATTGATTCTACTGCAATGCAAAAAATTGGATTTTTTATGAATTAATGATAACCTCTTCTACTAATCATTCTATTAACCATAATATATGATTTCTAAATAAACACAAATTTGGAAATAATAATATTTCAAAGTCATAATCATTTATCTAATCGACATGTAAACATGAAGATATATCATCAAGTGCGCCTTAAGATAGATAACTGTGCTTCATACGGTGTTGCCATATCCTTGCGTACATCTGCTATACATTCTTTCATTACACTGTTGCAACATGTTTATCATGGTTTTATATATATTTTCTATGAAATATGAACCTAGATTTATAAAATTACATACTTATATCTTATAAGATGTTCAAATAATTCAATGTTAATTTAATATATTTAATATCGAATAATGAATAATTTAATAAAATTAATCTTTTAGAATTTTGTTAATAAAAAAGAAATGAACTATTTTCAAGTATAGAATTTATGTATTTAGAAGAAAAATTTTTGTTTAAATGAAAATATTAGTAACGTAATCCAAACGAGATAATACCTTAAAGAAAAATCAATCTGGTGGCCCTAAAAAGGGCCGTTTCTATTTGCATATTTTTAATTATGTTTTCTTCTCTGTCTTCTTTGGAAGCAAAACAGCCTGTATGTTTGGCAAGACACCACCCTGAGCTATAGTTACGCCAGACAATAATTTATTTAATTCTTCGTCATTTCGAATCGCCAATTGCAAATGTCTTGGAATAATTCTTGTCTTTTTGTTATCACGAGCAGCATTTCCTGCCAATTCGAGAACTTCAGCAGCCAGATATTCCATCACTGCTGCTAAGTAAACTGGCGCTCCAGCTCCAACTCGTTCGGCATAATTACCTTTCCTTAAAAGCCGATGAATACGGCCAACCGGAAATTGTAATCCTGCTCTATTTGATCGTGACTTTGCCTTTCCCTTCACCTTACCACCTTTTCCACGTCCAGACATGTTGCAGCTTTTCTAAAATATAAATTTATAAAACCGTAACAAATGGTTTGCGCTCTCTTTCAGAAATAAAAGTGGATAGCAGTCGTTATCGTATTTATACCGTTTCTCGTACTTTGAAGCGGACCAATAGAATTGCTCAGAAGGATCTTATGCTTCTACAGCGCTCCTATTGGCAAAGGACAGAGTCACGATATATTATATAATGAGAGGTTAAACTCTTGGACGGAACATTAACCTCTAAAATATACGTGAAAGTGGATCAGTTTCGTTAGCAAAAATTTATCATGCCTCCGAAAGCAAGTGGAAAAGCCGTGAAGAAAGCAGGCAAGGCTCAAAAGAATATTAATAAAGCTGATAAAAAGAAAAAACGAAAGAGGAAGGAAAGCTACGCTATTTACATCTACAAAGTACTCAAACAAGTTCACCCAGATACTGGAATTTCCAGTAAAGCTATGAGCATCATGAACAGTTTTGTCAATGACGTTTTTGAACGAATTGCAGCGGAAGCATCAAGATTAGCTCATTATAACAAACGTTCGACGATTACTTCTCGGGAAATCCAGACTGCAGTGCGTTTGTTATTACCTGGTGAGCTTGCAAAACATGCTGTTAGTGAAGGTACTAAAGCTGTGACTAAATATACAAGCTCCAAATAAATGGTATCGTTGAATCTTTACCGGTCCTTTTTAGGGCCACCAATAATTATTTACGTTGAACATTTTCTTGTATGAAAATATTCTAACTTTTAATTACGTTATTTTTTATCCTTTCTTTTTTACTTTGTTATGTATGTATTATATATGTATGGATTTGAGTAATTTAATACGAGGATATTATATATAATGGCCAATCGTTATGAATAATGACAAACAAAATTGTGTACTATATTAAATTTCAGTGTTAGGGTTGTTTTTTTAAGTAGCTTTTTATAATAAATTTATTACAGTTCCTGATTTTGTTTATCATTGTTTAATAATATCCGTATTAGTCCACACTGTTCTTAATAAAATTATATAAACAGGAGGAAACATAAAATCAAATTATACAAAATAACTGTAACTTTGTTTATAATGTCTTATCAATTTAAGATATTTATATTAATCATACCGTACAGTTATTCTAGACAGTATCAGCTGGGCATTATAAATAACTTATTAGTCACTTGTTTTATGATATATACAAACAGTATGTGTATATTATTTTTTAAATTTATCTTTCATAACATATTGTACATTTAAGTGTTAAACTTTCAAGAATTTATAATTATATATTTGAAACGCTATATTCAATAGAAATATTTTATTTTCAAAAAAAAGAAAAAAAAAGTTTGATTTTTATATATATATATATAGCGAAAACAAATGAAACAGACATATAGTTTATTATATATTTCTCTATAATTTCTTGTAGAGAAAGCGTGAATTATGACTAGAATATCTAATACTTTCTTTTTTATGATTTTATATGAAAAATAAATTTATCAATAGTATTATATTGATTTTATTACTCGATAATAATGATCGATAATATTCAAATTGATCTGATTACAACCTGGCTTGTTGACTCACAGTTGACCATTTATTTGATAGACCAAAGCTATCCTCTAACATTGTTCAGTATGTAAATATTTATGTCATTTGTAAATATTTATATCCGTTACGATTTATTCTTTTTCTTTAGAAATAATATAAAAACATAATACGTTTAATTAAAAATTATTTTTTTATATTAGAATCATTTATATTTATTTATAACGAAAAAAAGATTGATAATGACATAAATAGTACTTATGTAATCAACAAAAATTTTTATAAAATTGGTTTAAAAAAATTCAGTTGTAGGTAATGGAGAGTATTACATTATCGATCTAGATTTCTAAGATGGTAAAAAGAAAACTACTTTATCAATACATGGTAAAGGAGTCTTGAAACCCGATTTTGATACCAGGGGACATTAAAAAAATGTTTAAATTATATAAAATAATTTTAATTAAGAGAGGATAAAAAGACATAGGAAGTAATGAAGTTTAAAATCGAACAACGAAAGTCGAGTTAAAAAATAAATTAAAAATGAAATGTATAATAATATATTTTTCATATATTATTATACATTTAATATATATAATATATTAATAGTAATATATTTTTCATGAAATATAAATTATATTTATTAAAAATTATCTTAGGTCAAAAGAAGTTTATTTATAACTAATTAGATGATATCACATTTCATAAAATTTCTTAGAAAAATTTTTCAATATTACATTTCCTCTCAATATAACATACTCAATTAAACTCGGGGAATCCTCAAATAAAACTTCTTATCAAATTGATCAACAGACAGTAAATAAAGATATTGACGCATATAATGTTAATAATTGGCCATAAAGAAGAGTGTCAAGAGTCATGATAGTCATAAACTTAAATAAAACTCAACCATAAATTCATAGTCAAGGATCATTTGGAAAGATAAAATATCATATTACAATTATTTCGCTAGTTAATTGAATATTCTGAAAAATTTTTAAAGACTTCGTCTTTTTATAAGAAAAAAATATATAACTATGAGAAAACAGTTTTTCTGTTTCTCAATTAGAACATTAATACATATGTATCACTTGTATTTATATCCATATAAAAGACAATGACGCACGGAATAAAGTTATGTATATAAAATAAAGTGACTCGCGTTGACCACTAGTACGATTAGGTCATTGCTAACGACGATTGGATAATACCTTCGATTTAAACGATAAGTATGAGTTCGCATAAAAGAGGAAAATCATAACACAATACACCACTAGATGGATTGCTTCTCTTTTACACTTCAGTTCTTGTAAAATTATTTAGTTCGTAAGTAAAACTATTGCTATTTATCGAGAGTGAAAATAAAAAAATAAAAAAAAAAAAAGAATAAATAAATAAATAAAAATAAAATATCAATTTATTTCCAAAAATCTACAAGAATTTGTATATACATACGTTTCACAATATGGCAAATAATGGCAACTTCCTTCTACTCTATTCCCTGGTAAGTATTTTTATATTTTTTATTCTTTTAAACAAAATTTTATGGTATTGTTATAGAATTAAATATTTATAAATATTTTAATTTGAAAATCCTATATATATATCTAAATATATATATATATATATATATATATAAATATATATATATATATATAAATATATTATATATATATAAATAAATATATTTTTATATATAAATTATATAATAAATATATATTTATATTATATATATTTAAATAAATATATTATATATATATAAATCATATATATATATGATTTAAAATATAAAGAAATCCATATCAATTAATTATTATAGACAATTATCGATAATATGAAAAAAATTATAATTATTCGTTTGATCAAAGATCGATAAGATAAAAAAAAATATGCCTGAATTTGTATATTAAAAATATAAATGATTAATATAAATACTTAATTAAGGATTTATTTTTATGATTATTTAAATATTTTTTATCTTTTATAGTATTAAATATTAAGTATTTTTATTTTTTAATTAATTCTTCAAATTTTTTTTTCATATATATCTTGAATACACTTTAACATAAATACTTTAGCATTTCTCTTTGTGAAAAATGTTAACAAAAAGTGTTAAATATATTTTAATTGATTTTTATCGCAAAGTACAGTATAGAAGATACGGATGTACATATATATACATATATTAATGAATAATAATAAATTATTATTCATTAATATATAATATTAATTAATAATTAAATATTTAAATAATAATAATATATGTATACACATATATTAATGAATAAAGAACTATTTCAAAATTAACTCAGTTTCGAGTAGGATTAAAGTATGGAAATGAAGAATTACTTTTTGGTAAATTTTAAAAATAAAATTCGATGTTTTTATCGAAGTTAGTAAAACAACTTCAGCCTATCAGGGGTATGAACACGAATTAAGTCAGTTGCTTACCAGCTGTTCGTGCGTATGACTGTCGAAACTCGTGTCCTCTTTACTTTCTAATCACTTGGCCTTCAGCCACAAATTATTGTTTCATTCTAATTCATCGAGATATTTAGACGACATTCATTCATTATTCGAATTTAATTTCAGTTTTCACAGAAGTGCGTTCGATACAGAGGTTCTTTTCATATTATAAATACTGCAAAAGGTAAGAAAAATATAACTCCTTTTATGTCAAAAAAATATATGCTGTGTCATTAAGTTCTACCACTTTCACTTATCCCCTTCCAGTCATCCTCATATCTATTTAATCGTAATCCTTAAAAAACCTTTTTTTATTAGTTTTGCTATCACGCATATGGAGATTTTCAATATGACGAAATCTTATTAATATAATCGATGACATAATCATACGTTATTAAAAAATTTTGAATATTTCCAAGACAATTTATAGATAATACTGGAAATATCGAAACTTATTGGTATATCCAGTAACATAATAATGTATCGTCATCGTGTCACTGCCACGTATATGTGAAATAATTTTTTTTAATTTATTTCATGAAAATTAATTTGTTTCAGCACAAACAAGAAACATGCCCTGCCCATTCTTAACTCGCTTATCCGCCAATTATGTACGTAATTATGGGACATCTGTAATAATGAATTATCGTCAACATTGCCCAGTAATGTCACGCTTATCTAGTACATTGGTAGAAAACACGGCTGAAGCACAAATACCACCTGAACCTGTAAAAAATCATTGTCCATTTCTTTCCAAAGAACCAGATGCAATAAAAGAGGCAAGCCTGACAATGGAGGAAGATGTTATTGATTTTACTACTAAAGAGGAAACTAATGAGGAAATTCACTTTCCTTATCAAAAATTTTTCCACGAGCAAATTATGAAAAAAAAGAAAGATCATTCGTACAGGGTCTTTAAAAAAGTTAATCGCTTGGCTGAGCAATTCCCAGCAGCAATGGAATATTCCTGGGGAGAGAAACCTATCACTGTATGGTGTTCTAATGATTATTTAGGCATGTCTCGTCATCCTAATGTAATTAATTCTGTACGAGAAGCTTTGGATAAATTTGGTGCAGGCGCAGGTGGAACTCGCAATATATCTGGAAATTCTATGGGTCATGAAATGCTGGAAAAAAGACTTGCTGCTCTGCATCAAAAGGAAGCTGGATTATTATTTACTTCATGTTTCGTAGCCAATGATTCGACATTGTATACATTGGCTAAGCTTTTACCAAATTGTCATATATTTTCTGATGCTGGTAATCATGCTTCTATGATACATGGTATACGGAACAGTGGTGTACCTAAACACATTTTTAGGCACAATGATGTCAAACATTTAGAAGAACTTCTATCTAAAGTAGATAGAAATATACCAAAAATTGTAGCATTTGAAACAGTACATTCAATGACAGGTGACATTTGTCCTTTAGAACAATTATGTGACGTTGCACATAAATACGGTGCTTTAACATTCGTGGACGAAGTTCATGCGGTGGGCTTATATGGATATTTTGGTGCTGGCATTGGGGAAAGAGATTGGGTTCTTGATAAAATGGATATTATATCTGGTACTCTTGGAAAAGCTTTTGGTAATGTAGGTGGCTATATCGTTGGTTCTTCCAAACTTATTGACATGATTAGAAGCTATGCAGCAGGATTTATTTTCACAACCTCATTGCCACCAACTGTTCTATATGGAGCTTTAACATCTGTTGAAATTTTGGCATCGGATGAAGGAAGATCTTTGAGAGCTAGTCATCAAAGAAATGTGGCCTATATGAAATCTATTCTTACTGCTGCTGGACTTCCTTTAGAATCTTCTCCTTCTCATATTATTCCATTAAAAGTAATTTTATTAATATATTTTTTTATATTACACACATAGATATATTTCTAAGATTATTTAATTTTTATTTTACAGATAGGCGATCCATTATTATGTAGTCAAATAGCTGATATGCTAATACGAGAGAAAGGACATTATGTTCAAGCTATAAATTATCCTACAGTTCCAAAAGGTGAAGAAAAATTAAGATTAGCACCAACACCAAAGCATAAAAAAGCAATGATAGATCAGTTTGTACGAGATACGCTAGATGTATTTCATCGTTTAAAAATTCCTAAAATTGAATCTAAATCGAATAAAATGGCACGTGCAATATCAGTTCATTGACAAATGTATATATTAATGTAATATAAAGATTTCTTATCGTACAAACAAAACTTGTTAAAATATGAAAGTTTATTTATGTGAATACATATAACGTTTTTAGAATATTCAAATCGTAAGATTTGTCCGAAAATAAATCGATTTAACTAAATATATTCATTTTAAATAAATGATTATAAAAATATTAAATTGTATTTATTCTTATTTTATATTTTATACTACATTTCATAGTCAAAAATCAATTTCTATATAAGAAGCATTACATTCTGATCAGTACCTACATATGTTAACCTTTTGTAACTTAAATGTGAGCTATACGCATGCGCATTTTGCACATTTGTAACTGTCGTCTGCACCTCATGTCTGATTTATTATAATTAAGTTTTCAGTTATTATGAAAATAATTAATTAGAAGTTTTCGTATAAAAGTTTTTTATAAGAGAATGTACATTATTAAAATTTTTCAAAAGCAGCGCCGATCTTCGAAGAAGCCATAAGAGTCTGTTATGATCGGCATTTTAAAGTGAGGTTAGAATGAGAATTTTTATAAACATTTTGAAAATGTTCATTGCATTTCTCTCCGATTACGCACGTGGCTTGTCTTATACCGTAATTACGATATTGATTTTGTGTTATTGTTTACATCCGGCAAGATTCGCTTCGCATTATACATTTATAAAAGCTGAAGATATTTATGATGAAATGGAAAGATCATATCCACCAAGAGATAACTCTTGTACTATTCCAATAAGTAACGAACGATCTTCTCATTTACTATATCCAGAGGAACATCCTCGAGAAGATCCAGTTGCCATGGCTCGTCGTTTAGGAATCCTTCCTGGAGGACAATGGAAACCATTGAATTGTCATCCTCTTTTCAATGTTGCTATTATCTTACCATATCGCAATCGACAAACGCAGCTCACCATCTTTATGAATTATATACATCCTTTCTTACAGGCACAGAATCTTAATTATAGAATATTTGTGATAGAGCAAAGTCCTATGCGAGAATTTAATCGTGCCAAATTGTTTAATGTCGGATATGCGGAGGCAACTAAAATCAATGATTTTCATTGTTTCATATTTCAAGATATAGATTTGATACCACAAAATCCTAACAATATCTATGCTTGTACTAAAATGCCAAGACATATGAGTTCCAGTGTAAATACGTTCCGGTATAATTTACCTTATACTGGTTTATTTGGAGGAGCAATAGCATTAACTCGTAAACAATTTGAAAGAGTTAATGGCTTTTCTAATGTTTTTTATGGGTGGGGTGGAGAAGATGATGACTTTTATAGCCGTCTACAATCAAGGGGACTTCAAGTAAGTTATTATAAAATCATTTTTACTGTTCCAATGAAAATAATAATGTAATTATATTGATATTTTTAATAGATCACACGGTTTGGGCCTGATATAGCACAATATTACATGATAAATCATAAGAAAGAATCTCCTAGTAGTGCGAGGTTTGCAAATTTAGAGAATGCTGCAAGAAGATATGATACCGATGGTATTAGCAATCTTGAATATAGAGTATTAAATCATCAGCTACGACCATTGTATTCTTGGATATTAGCTGATGTTTAGTTTTAACTTTATACTCCAATTTGTATAATCTTTACAGTCTTTTTATGTTATACTATCTGCAATTATAGATATCAACAATATAATGAAATGTCATTAGTATTTAGTAGTTTATATTTACGGTTGTACATTTACAAACTCATATATGCAAATTGTGATTAGAGAGTAACTAGTTCATATTAACAAATAGTATATACAAGATTTGAATTGTATATATGTGTTTTGCAATTATCGTGTTGATAATGTGAAATAGTGTCGTTTTTTACAACATTACATGGTATGGCCTTGGAGTTTCAATAATATAATCACGTCCATATATTCCTAGCTTCGTAAAGATATATATTATAAATATATACAATGAGAATGTGTGTGCATTATATCTATTTAACAAACATTTTAACCTTTGAATCTTGAATATTTAAGTGATTAAATACTTTTTATAGGAATATAATTTATATTTATAACATAAACATGTAAGTTAAACAAATAATGAATGCTCTCAAGTAATGAAATTACTCTCTATTTATAATAGCAAATTATGTGTAAAGCAATAATTATACTAGTTTTTTGTATTTTTAAGAAAGTATTAATTTTAGAAGCAGAATAAATTTAAACACATTTTTGTATATAGAACCAGAAAACAAAAAATATTTTATGAGCTATGAAATGTAGCTTTTACTAAGCATTTATATACTTATTGTGATATTTCTTTTTAATTTAATTTTTTAAAAACATTAAATATTGTCCATAATTAATTTCGGTTACGAAATATTAATGTCACTATTATTTTTAATTTATTTATTATTACTAATACTATTTAAAATAGTCCAAGTGACTGAGATGTGATAATACTGATTTTCTGCATTTAAGAAATTAATATGATATAAAAGATTCTAAAATAATAAATTTTAGTTGTATTGATATGTTGCATTTATTTATGTATTTAATAATGTATTACTGCTGAATTTTTCAGAATATTTTCAATATCTATTTAAAAAAATTGTATTATTTTTAATATTCTTATACATTATTACTCTGTTACTTTGCTTAGAAAAGCATAACAAATCTGAAAAATATATAAAATCTGTACACACATACATACATATATAGGGTAACTCATTTTAATCTGTAAATGCAATTATCTTTCTTAAAAAAACAGCACAGTTGACCTTCATATGTCCTTTACATGACCAACTACGAAAAGATTAATTAGTTACATTACTGTGCTCTCGAAATAACATGTTTCGTTTTAGACATTTTTCAAATATCAAATTTGGGGAGACAATTGTATTTATAAATTAAAATAGGTCATTCTATATATATATATATATATATATATAGAAAAAAAGACAATGTATTTAGCAATATTTCGCAGGTATATTTATTATCTTTCCTGATTTTATTATTTCATACATTGTGGATAGTAAATTAAAAAAATAAGATTAAATTGTAATAATAGTTCAGGAGAGATGTATACAGTGACAATTGTTAATCCATGATTTTAAACTTTGATAAAACTCATAAAAAAGAAGGTTAACGTACATATCGCTTGTGATCATACTATGTAATAAATATAATTATATTATATATTTACGAAAATTTTACATACTACAGAACATTATTATGAAATTATAAAGTTCGATGTGTTATGAGTTAACAAAATAGTTTAAAATGACTTGTAATTATTATAGAGATAAAAGAGGAAAGATTATTTGAAATATTATGAAAGGTAATTTGTGAAATAGCATTTTTGTTACTGATACTTTTTCCAATATGTTTATTATAACAAAAAAAAAAAAAAAAAAAAAAAAAAAAAAAATAAAATAAAAAAAAATAAAAAAAAAAAAAATAAAAAAAATAAAAAAAAAAATAAAAAAAAAATTTATTTAATTTGTACGTATTAATGGAGATATTTCATAATGTTCCTGCATTTTAAAATCGGAATATTCAGAATTTTACAATGACTAATAGATTCGATATAATCGTTTGATCTATTAATGCTAAATTATATATTTTATTTTTAGGTATCATCACATATTATTATGATTGATACAAAAATTTTCATGCGTTACTATAAAGTAGTTTAGAGAATGTGGTACGGAATTCCTTCGAAGGTTAATCCTAACATGATTGTGATTTAAGGTATAGAAATGCTATGTGTGAAAAAAAATTATTGAGCATTGTAAGATTAATTTAAGGGTGCCATTGCATAAATAAAATTGTTATCAATTTTCACCTTATTTTTCTGGTAGTAGCGTATTTTCTGTAGAGTATATATTATTATTATTAATATTATTATTATTATTATTATTATTATTATTATTATTATTATTATTATTATTATTATTCGGCTACTTTGTCTATCGGTAAGTATACACGAAAGAACAAAGATATTTTATGTGAAAAATAATAAATTTTCATCAAACTAAATGTAGTCTTAAAAACCGATTATTACTGTGCAGTTTCTGACATATTTCATGTTTATCAGATAATGTGGATATATAACTACATATCTATGGAAAATTTGAATACAAGTTCTTATACATATATATATAAAATCTATTTAACAATACTTAACGTATTACGTATCGGATAATTCCTGATAACGAGCATACATCATTTTCTTTACACAATCCTTGTATGTATCCCCGGGTAGCGCACTATAAGATGATGATTTAGCTCCTAAACCCGCGGTAGGAACTCGTCTTTCTGCTTCAATGATACTTGTTCTACCTTGATTTGATTTACCAAGGCCCATTCCTTCACTCCATCCCATCTTTTGTAATAATTTATTGCCAACGTTATCCGATCCAATACCTGTTCTTGTAGGTTCTTCATAAGAAACGGATATGTCTTCTACTCTGGTTTTTAAATATTTTTCTTTTAATTTATTAGGTTGTGGTGGTTCTGGTTCGCCATATTTGGCTCGCCTTTCTTTAGCTCTATCTCGATACTTATTGTTTCTTTGTTGAGGATCATTCGGATCTAAACCGCGCACCTGATACCAATTTTCTAAGTTTTGCTTATGAAGATCTGATAATTGTTGATGCCGAAGCAACGCTTCTTTGCTCGGGAATTGTCGTTTACAAAGTAAACAAGCTAATTTGCTCCAATCCGTATGCTGCCTTTCCTCTTGTTGGACATCCTCAATTTCCTCCTCTGTGTCACTTCCACCACCATAAGCAGCTACTAATCCGTTACTTCCACTGGGATCCTCATCTTCGTGATATGGATTTGTAAGGGCTTTCTTTTCCAATATAGCGTAACCAGCATCGGCTGCACCACTTCCTACACCTTGATTACCATCACCTCCAGTAAATTCTGAATTCCAATTACTTTTGGCATTTTCTTTCTTTTGATTTAAAGTTTTTGCCCAACGTTCCATGTCCTTTGCTATTTTCTTTGCAACCTTTACTTTATCCTGTTTACTGTCTTTTTTCTTACTTTCATCCTCCTTCAATACATCTTGAGTTGTAGTTGTTGAAGATGGGATAGCTTGACTCATAACTGTTGTAGCCGAATCGGTACTACTAGCAGTTGCTGTTATCGTAGTTCCACTTGTAGTAGCAGTTCCTGTTGTTGGGGTAACGGTTGTGGTTGTCTGAAAATAATATTCATATTGTAAATATTATTGATATATTAAGCCTATCTATAGTTATATATATATAAAATGCATTACCTTCGCTGGTTGGTAGGAAAATGATTCTGCATCCCAATAAAGAAATTGTTGCGTGTGGCTATTGTAATAGTATTGTGAGTTAGGATCATAATACAATCCTGTACTTGGATCATAATAATAACCCGAAGATTCGTCATAGTGATAGGTGCTGACATCAGGCACAGAGTAAACTTTTCCATCATTTGCATGAGCAGGAACCCTTCCACTTGCTAAAGTTGTGCTAGTTGGCGCAGTAGGAGTTGGTCTGCCTTTCATTTCATCTGCATCGCCTATCTTTCTGGATGCTTGCAGTTGTTGTATAGCAGATTGAGCCACTGCAGCAGCTGCATTTACTCTGTCCGTTTGGTTCAATGAAGGTAATGTAATAGCTGTTCCTTGCATTATCTGATTCTGGTAGTACTGTGTATAATACTGAAGATAATGAGCTTTTTGTGCTGGTGTTTTGGCATATAAATTGGCGCTATATTCTGCTAATTGAGCTACATCATCCAAGGTGTACCTCTGCGACTGATTATCGTTAGACTTCCATGCATTCGTATTATTAATCTGATGTAACTTGCAATATGCAATTTCTACTTTCCTACCGTCAACGACTAATCCTTGTTTCGTAAGTGCTGTATGCAAATACATTGCATCCACAACGTTACCCATTTCTAAATAACAAACACCCCTTGATGTGTTTGTAAGAGAATCCCGTCCAATACGTATACTCCTAATTGGCATCGATGATAGATTTTTCATTGCTTGAAGAACCGAATCTTCAGTGGTTAATACATCTAGTCCTCTAAGGAGAACAGTATTGGTAGGATGTGGACTAATTTCATCGCTACCTTCTCCACCTTCTTCGCTTTCTGCTCGTGAAGCAGAACATTTGAAACATGTTTCACGTCTTTTGAAATTATGTGCTCCACACTGTTGGAAAATTTATAAGACAAATTTATTTCATAAAAATATTTTTATATATCCTTTAAGTGAAATTAATATGCATTACCTTTACACAATGCCAGTCTTGTGTATTCTTTGCAGGTGGTTTATCCACATGACAATCCTTCGGTATACTGTACTGCATTAATGCACGATATTGATCCTGTAGCATCAGGACTCCCTGAAACAGAGAATTTCAGTGTTATCCCGTCCAACGTCATCCGAAGGCCTCCGTTTAACCCGTAAACTTTCTTCTTGGTTGACGAAATTATAGTTTTCTACTTCATAGCTTTCCGTCTCGAACGAACAGCAAACAAAATGCCGTGGGCTTATTATGTGGGCCATTCCACGCGACTTGTTGACTTATTTACTTGTTACTATATACGGACGCTATTATATACGTTCAATATACATACGCGTACAAGTTTGTTGCCAAAATTAGAAGATATTTGTATTATAATTGTATTATAAAAATAAAAAAAAAAAAAAAAAAAAAAAAAAAAAAATAAAAAAAAATAAAAAAATTAAAAAACAAGTTTTTAAATTAAAAAATAAAAAAGAAAACGGTAAAATGCACATTGAAATAATAATCTTTTATGATAAAATGCATTGCTGATTGTATATTGGCAGTTAATAATAGCATACCAGACAATTTTGCACCGCTAGGAGAAGTTTCCCTTTTTTTATCAATTTTATTCTATTATATACGAAAAAGTATATAATAATGTTTAATTTAAAATATGACAATCAATCAAAATGGTAATATCTTTTGAAATATATGAAGAAAGTAATAATCCAAACTATAGAACTTTGAAGTTAATGAGAAGCCAAAGAGTTACAGTCAAGTCATATAAATATTGTTTATCATGTAAAACAATTATCTACTCATCCTTGTGCTTTCTATATATATAAAAATTTATGATATATTTCTGTTCATAGAAATAGAATAATATGAGGTAGATTGAAGGTGAATCTTCTCCTATCAATAAGAGAAATTTACTAATGTACTATTATTGAATGCCAATGTACATTTGAAAAATACTAACGTAAGTTGATTTATAGATAATTGATTAGATTGATTAGAGATAATTAATAGATAATTCATTTATAGACATATGTGTGACAAATATGCACGTAAGCATATATATATATATAAACTTTTAGCATTTAAGACGGCTGGAATGACCCTCCTCCAATCTTCATTGTTAGTCCATAAACTTTTATGAGAGATGGAGGATAGGTAAAAGCACGCGTCGCGAGCCTTTCTATAAAAATTAATCCGATAGACGTAATAGCGAGCCAGTTAAGAAAAGTCTGCAAAGTGGGGCTCCTAGATAAATAATTAGATATGGTAGATTGAAGTAGCCTTTGAGATAGGTGCACAGCCATGGCCGTGGGGAAGGCCAAGGACCGCGTTACCGTGCCTTGCCGCCACGGGGCGTCGGTGGCACGCGAACAACACATCGGTTGGGTATGTGGATTGAACTTCTTTCTACCTGTTTCATCTCCATCCACCGTGCAGCCTCCTGAGTCGCGTTAAACTCGACGAATGCAAAACCTCGCGAAGCACCTATACAGAGCAAATACACACATATCCAAAGTTAATCCACGTTTTGCCTGGAGATCTCTACTCTGAGAGGGCAGGCAATCACAGCACCAACCATTGACAGACTCTTTCGAACGAAGTGTTTCTTCGCTTCGTCCCTTCGTTTTCTTTTCCATTTACCTAAAGCTCAGCAGAACGAATTCTATTTGCGTGACGAAAGACTTCACCGATAATCGAATCATTTAATGCAACATGAATTTTGCTTTCAAACATCAGCCCTACCGTAACTCATTTTTTGTTCTTCCATGTCTTTTTTTTTTTCTCTCCTTATTTTCTTTTTCTTTTTTTCCCCGCGATTATTAACTCGATAAAATTAGAAAGAAATAAAAAAGATCAAAAGAAACTTCTTTGACGATATATACAAGCACACACAGAAGAAGATAGCTTTAATTATTTCCTATTATTTTTTCTTTATATTATAATTTATATAGAAACTGTTAAATCTTCCCGATTTTAACTGATTTACTGAATTGGTTGGTAATCATTAAATTTATATTATATGAGCGCTTAAATAGTTTTTTGATGAAAAATTTATATAGTTCAATGAGCTGAACTACGATGAGTTGATTTTCTTCGATCTATCCTTCCTGCATGTGTCATGAACTTACCTTTCCATAATGAGTAGAAAATCGATTTATGAATCAATAATGAATCAATTGCAGATTTTACTGCTTTTGATAAAGTATGAATGATATGAAAATGTTATGCCTGCACAAGTGAGCGTCACTTATATAATCTTTCAAATTTTGTAAAATTATAATATCAACATCATAAAACAAAATTTTATCTCCATATAGAAGATAGAATACAAAAATTATAGAAATTTAATCGTAATTTATTATTCCTATCATATCTGTATATACCATGAAGATATAATAAGCTGTTGAGATATAGTTCTAATGACACTCGAAGAAATATTCCGAAATCGAACCCGTGATACGAATATACATTTTACGAAGGGAACGATACAAAATAATAAATAAACAATAATTACCTGTATCTTTTTTCCGAATAAGCCTGATGTCCTTTGGCATGAGACCACAGTTGAGGATGTCTTGCCGCACCTGTGATACACACATCATAATAATAACAGTGATGTATGCTCTCTAACACCGACTCACAAGTGGCCACAATCTTGGGCCGCTAAGTTGACAACCTACGTCATTTTCAGTAATATGCTGCGCGAGCCCTCGAATCATTATGGTGTTGTTGGGAGATTGAGATTTGTAGTGGATGCCTTCCATGGACGAGCCATAAGCACGACCATGGTCATGATCAAAGTCCAAACTTTCACGACTGTGGTCATCATCGCGATCCCTATCTCTGTCCTCTCTTTTTCCTCTACGTTCTCTATCCCTATCTCTGTCCCTATCCCTTCTTGATCGTTCTCTGTCCCTATCACGATCCCTGTCCCGATCACGATCACGATCCCTTTCTGTAGAATCTCTATCTCTTTGCCTTCCATAACGATCTTCTCGATCTCTATAACTACGGTCTCTATCATCCCTGCTACGATCTCTCCTATCTCTTGAACGATCTCTTTCGCGGTCTCTGTCTCTTCCACGATGATTTCTGTAATCTGGACTACGATGATCTCTATCACGATGATCTGAATCACGATGCTCTCCATAATCAGGTGATCGATTGTTTCCATAGTCATTACGGTAATCGTAATCAGAAGTGTGCCCCCTTCTTTCTGGTCCATAACCTGGCTCCCAAGGATCAATGTTGTTGCTATACATGTTGCTCGCACATTTATCACACCACTAAAACAGATGTAAGAATTTCATAACAAATTTTGTCAATGTATGTAGTCTAAAAAGGATTACATGATTCAAAATAAATTAAAGATTAATAAACAATAACTTCACACTAAATAAAACTAAAATTAAATCTTGAAGGGATATAAAAATATATAAAAGGTATGTAAATATTTTTAATTAATTAGAAAAAATGTTATACTTTTGTGAAATATTTCATTATTACATTGTTAAATAGAACTCGTGACAAGAGAAATGACAAGGATAATCCTAAAATTAGCTGAACATATTTAGAGAAATCTTGTATAGAGAAAGGAAATTTTCGCTTGTAATCGCACGCCACGATTGATGTGGGTCGCAAGATTGAATTAATATGTGCTTACCGATAAATTTATAACCCTTCTATCGTTACAGCTGCTGTTCAGATTCGACGATAAATGACTTAAATGATGTTGTAGATTTCAGAAAATTCTTTCTTCTTATCGTCGGCAGAAATTTTAAATAAATTGTTCGAGGAATAGTATGACGCGCACAATGGCGTGGTTGATCTTCTTCATCCAAGAAACATGGCGGTTCTCCCAGGAACAACGAACTCCATACGTGTTCTGAATACGTATTCAGTTCAATTACGAAAAGGACGATAGATGTCGCGTTTTTCGAGAATATACAATATCTAACTTTTCGCGGCGTTTTCGATAATATATAAATATGAATTCAAAGACAAATTAATCGATTCACGTATATATTAAATTCATTCGAAGACAAATTTAATTGCGTTATATCTTTCATTTATTTCTATATTTCAAATTATAGTAAAAATGTGTCGCATTACGGACGTTAATTTCCGATAAAAAAGTATCGATGTGCGCATGCGCGTTCAAGCCACCATTTTGTCGAGAACTCTATTGGACGGTATCATTTCGCGCCCGATTCGTTGTCAACGATTACGTCATTAAAATTACAGGTATTTATTTCCATTCAATTTTTGAAATTGTTTCTTTTTCTTGTGTACGTACATATACACATATATATATATATATATATATATATATATATATATATATACATATAATATTATTGCCCTAATGAATAATTATGTTGTTACGAATGATATTATTTTTTTTCGGAAGTGTCATAAAAAAAGAAATTGCAATATTTATCTCAACTTTAATTTGCTATAATTAAATGTGCTGACATAATTTTTTAACTGCATGGATAAAAATTATTTTGTCCGGAGTATTTGAATTTAAATTTATACGCGAAGCCGTGTTATCTTTTTAAATAAGAATATCTTGTGTTACTACTCCACGTCGATAACGTTGAAATCTTGTCTGACCGATGGAACAGGAGTTATTTCCAATTATGGACATAAGATGGAGCCATAATTCTGGACTTCCGGTTTAACTCTTGCTTTCCTTCAATAATTTTGACGACATCTCTAGTATCGACTATTTAATTTGACGCTATATTTTTTCAAACAATTTACGACAAACAATCGATCGTTCAAGCGACCGAACCAAATTAATTACATTGCTTAATCTATACTTCGTAGTTCAGATACTGAATGGCGAATTTTTTATCGATTTATCTCCCGTATCGACAATGAATATTCATCGTATAAATTTTTGAAGAAATATGCAATGAAAATGTAAAGTAATGCCGAAATCAGATTGAATCAAATAGAAAAACAGAATTATTAACCAAGATGTCCTTTACTTTTCATCGATTGATATTCTCATTTCAAATGATATTACGTAGGTTTGCTTTCAAAATGAAAGAAAATAAAAAAGGGAAGAAGAAAAACGAGAGAAAGATAAAGGTTTTTTTTTTTCCCCCTATAGGATTCTATATCGAAGCATGTGAACATACATATAACATGCACGCAAATGTTGTCCTGGCTAGTCGGTTTACTCGGTTTCCGTTCAAAGTACAGTTACTCTGGGTTTTTGTGGATTCGCCCAAAGTCGAAGAAGGGCGCGCAAGTACACGAAGAGAGAATGTGGTGAGCGGGTAGGTGGTAGTGGTGATATTGATGGTGGTGATGTTGTTGGTAGCGATGTTGGTGGTGGTGATGACGATGGTGGTGGTGGTCGTCGGTGGTTGCTGGTGCAAGCAGAGTAGGACGGGCCGGAAAGGCCGCCTCGCACACGCATGCACGTAAAACCGACTGAAGTTGCATCCTATTGTTTGTGTGTGTATGAGTGTGTCGTTGCTCGATTATACGTATATTGGTAGATTTTCCTGGGGAAAATGAAGGCGTGGAAGCAAACGAACGAGCGAGAAAGAGAGATAGAAAGAGGGTAATGCGTGAGAGGAGAACGAGGGAGGAGAAAGAGAGAGAAAGAAAGAGAGAAAGAGAGAGAGAAAGATGATGCGAGCGGGTCTTGCGCAACTAGTTCGACGCAGACAGTTCGTCTATATACTTGGTTCAACGACCACCGCCCTGGTCTTGTCCAACCCTAAAGTACCGGGAGCTCCGTTCGGGAGACAGGGAGAGAGAAAGAGTAGGAAGGGGAGAGAGAGAGAAAGAGAGAGAAAGAGAGAGAGAGAGAGAAAGGGGGGAGGTTGGGAAAGAGAGAGAGAGAGACAGAGAGAGGGTAGAAGGGCGTCGGTGGGTTCGCCAGGTTGAGGAGAGGGTTGGTACGGATCTAGGGAGGAGATGCCGGGTGGGGGTGAGAGAGAGGGAAAACAGCCAGGCGAGGTCTCAAGTCCGTCGGCCCACGGGCCAGTTCCGTCTCGAGCCCAGGGGTAGAAGAGCTACTGGTCGCTTGTCTGCTCCCTTCTTTCGCTATAGTTTCATTTCTTTCCGTTTTAGTTCCTCTTCAGTTCCGATTGACTGACGTATACATATATATAGACATATATATACATATACATATATTACATACATAAGAAAAAAAAAAGAAAGAAGAGCATATGGATATATAAAAGATATATATGTACACGTGGGGACGTATATACGTATATGTACGTTTGTAACACACGCGCGCGCGCATCACACACTTTGGAAAAACGTATAATGTTGTATGCCGGTTGAAGAAGAAGCAAAAAAATAATAATAAAAAGAACGGGGTAAAAAAGAGCGCGTGAATGTACTACCATTGATTTTTTTTCTTAATTTACGTGGTTGAATTTACGGGTACGATTTCGGTAACATCGTGACAGTTCGTTGTCGTTGTCGTCGTCTCGTATCGTTGTTAATATATGCGGACACACCCCCGCGCGCAACTGCGTATTCTTACAAGTCCTGTACGTCGTAAAGGTGTACCGTCTCACGTAGTACCTGCGTCTTCTATCCATCCAATGCTCCTACATTGATTGCAGATCACTTGAGTTTTAGGAACATAATTGTCACAAACAGGTATGTATCGATAAATGCATTGTCTTCATCTAGTGTCTTGCGTTGTGTTTGTTATCCTATTCGGTTTTGATGTCTATGTTACATATCTTACTGATCATACATTCTATGTTTTTGATTCGAGATTAGTTTGATTAACGAATTGATTTTTTCTAAGAGATTTTCCAAATTAAAGAGATCATACATCTTTTTCTAGATATTAAAAACTATATTTTGCATGATTTATTTTAGATCAAATTTAATTAGAAACTTGTTAAAACGTGATCATGATTTATTATCAAATACCTTAGTACAATGTAAGTTTGTAATCTATAATTTTTTTTTTTTAATCACATGTATGATATGGATATAAAAATGGTATTAAAGGTATTATTATGTTAAGGAAAGACAGCAGATAAGATGGGAATATCGTTGTAACGTGCGATACGTTGAAGCGAGTCGACGAGAAAACGAAATTTGATTTCTTTTCATATTTTTATCACCGGAGCATAAAGCGACCGCGATGACGATTAGTCTTGTTCTTACTCATGGCCAGTTCCAAACCGCCTCTTGTCAGCTGATTGAAATCGATAATGGTAAGCCTCGGCTCGGTGGGTCGTCTTGTCGGAGCTTGCACCCTGTCGAGCGGTGCCCCGGGGCTCCGGAACCTGTAGCTCTGGTACCTGCACTCGTCGACGCCCGTCGTTCCACTTCCACTTCCTATTCCAATTCCGCTTTCGGTTCCAGTTCCAATCGCAATTTCAGCCCGGCTCATACGCGTGCCACTCATCGATCGGTAACAAGCGCTCGGGAGCGGCTCTGTGTCCTCCCGGAAATAACTGAAAGTCAAACCCCCACAATTTTAATAATGACGAAGATAATGGTGATCCGAAACGACGAAGGAACGACATTCTGATCGATCGATCTCATTTTTCCGTTCTCCTCCTTCACTTGAACATGATTTACGTACTCGTGAATGCTTGCTAGATGCAAAGGAGCTGGTGTTCTGGCCATTTTAGAACGTGGCTGCCTTGATACATGATGGCTCTGACGAGATCGTCGATTACGCTTATCCGATGGTTGATTTGGAAGTCCACACGGTATCAAACCGGTTAACTTGTAATATTCCAGAAATACTCGTGCGAGATTTCGACCGAGTCTGTAATCTATTATTATAATCGATAATTAAGGACGAATATTTGTATTTCTCCTTGTTTCTTACTCTTTATTCTATTATCTATTCAAAGTCAAGGACAAAGTCATTCGTTTGTATTACATCAAAAGGATACAACTCTCTTCTGTATATGGTAAAATACCCGGTGTTCCCTTCTTATAATAGCCATACATTGATACTTGTACGGTATAGCAATTGACGTGTTCTTTTAGAATGGAACATAGATATCGACGTGCTGTTCCAGCTTTGTGAGGATCTTGATTATACATCGTGTTTCCTAGATCGTAGTCCTCCGTGTGTTGAGCGAGCAACTTTGGTAGAACAATGTGTCTCTCGTACCTAAGAGGCTGGCAGCCGTGGAGTTAGATTATGATACGCAAAAGTGAGGATCGTACACAAAAAAATTTCATAATTTACTCTCACACTATCTATGCTCGTTTGAAGAATGATTAGAGGTACCTATATACGTCTTCGTACGTGTTCCCGTAAACAAAGACTCCCGTTGCGTTTGTATGTGCATGTAGATCTAAAACGCAATCTAATGGCGTATGCGTGTTCTTATCTAAAGATTCTAACATGGATTTGGTTGCCGATAGTGTTGGGTGGATCCATTCTGATATACGATTCCAATTTCGATTCAAATCCATGCCCATCAAAGTAGATCTGTCATAATATTAGTATATGTTCGTATGCATTTGAAAATAAATTTTACTGTTAGGATGATACGCTGATATAATTACCTGTAATTACCGAAGAAAACTCCATCGGGATTGATCATTGGCACAATTTTAAATATCACGTAATGCCTGAGCACTTGAGCGATCGGATGAGTGCTGACTAAAAAATCCATGAGTCCTTGACAAACAAACGAGGACGGTGATTCGCCTGGATGAATTCTCGCAAGAATCACCACTACTTTCCTTGCTAATTCCTTATCGTCATCCGTATCGGATTTTATGGTGATTAGTTCGACCTTCCTCTTTTGAATCGATGTAGCTAAAGTTTCTCTGTGAACATAAGCTATTCTGGTGCTGAGATTATTCAAATGTCCGAGGTACCGATTGTAAGAATACGGATAAGTTAAAGCGAATTGGTAGACCTCGTCTTCTCGATCGAAAGCGAATGCAAAACTAAGCACGTAGTGATTCTGATGTTGCGGTGATTTATAATAAAAAAGCTGAAAAAATAAATTTTACAAAGGCACATTAAATGACATTAAATTTTTAGAAAAAAATGCAAGCGTAAATCATACCTGATCCCGTGGTATCCTTTGCCATTTTGGTCTTCCGTTGCTCTTAACTAATGGCGCCATACCAATTCGAAAGAGATTCATGCTCCTCGAAATGTTCACTATGTTGAATATAACACGCTGATTGCATCTTACGTTGTCAACGGTGAAGTTAAACCACAAGCGAAGCCGTGGGCTGCAGGTATCCGGTCTTATGAAGAGATCGTACTCGAACTCTGAAACGAGATCCACTCGGCCCAAGTTACCGGTTTCGAATGAGGCATCGAAACAGATGTGTCCCTTCTTTGCTTTTCCACTGTGACCGGGTGGACGTATTACAAGTTTATTTACATTTCCCAAACCACCTTCGGCATCACTGTCCTCGCTTTCTGAAACCAATTTTATTTTTAACTTATTGTATCGATGTTACGATATATTTCCCTCGATTTACGATTATCGTTACGAAATGACCTAAATCATATATAATAGAAACTCTATGAAACACATTGCTGTTGCTTTTTGTTTTGTTTTCCTAACGATGAAAGATCACACGTAATTCAAATTGTCGTCTAACCGGCTCTTTGATAAAGACTGGTGTGCTCTAAAGGGTCGCGTCCTTCCCCGTGAAAGGCCATTAGCCGCGCGAATAAGCTCTGTTAAGGTTATCCAGCTGGTAGCAGACACAGCGAGAGACTGAACGTTTCGAGCAACTCGAAAAGCATGCTAGGTGTTACCCGCCTACCTACCAATCTACGTGATAACAAGAAACACCGATCTCAGTTTGGATTTCAAGCTAAACGGCTGATCCTCACGTTGCCTCTCGTGTTCGTGCTTATACCAAAAAAAGAATCTGGTAAGTTCGTGATTTCGCGTGGGTGATTCCAGTCAGGGCGAATCATTCCGTCATGGATTCTCGCGTGGCTGCCAAGCGTCAACCGATCTCCTTTCTCGTTCAAGACCTCTCGACGGGGCTATCTTGTTTCTTGGTGAGAAGGTTAAAGTAAAAGTCGTTCCAAGTCACGTGATTTACGACGATCCTAATCATAGCGATAGAAAGGCGAAGAAGCTATTGAATGGAGAGAGGATGGAGTATGTGAGAGATACATGTTTTTGTGACTCAAAGTTATTTCTTTGTTTAAAACGTTTTCACGTTTTAAGAGGATTCTTGTATAGGGACGATTTAAATACACCCAGTTATAGTTTTATATCGTATAATCGAGTCATCAGGTTCAAAGAACCATAGATTATTGAAATTCAATCGTAAATTTGTAATATTAGGAATGCACTTAACTTTAATAACTTCTTCGAAATGGAAATAAAAATTTTCATATCAATCTTCAAGTCTGGGTTTATTTTATCTTATAAAAAAAAAATTGAAATGAAAATTCTATTTCTATTTAGAAAAGAATCTATCATTAGAATATAGACACAGGAATCGCCAATCTATTTCCATCGAATAATAGGAGACGTAAATGTTACGGTCGATGACGATAGTGTTTGAGGTCAGTGTCTGTAATCTTGACGGAGGAAATAGGAAGAGCTAAGGGTAGTTCGTTGGGTTATAGCATTCTTGCGTCAAGACCTCGCGATACAATTGTCAATAATTCACGAAGAAAGCTAAAAAGGTACGATAACATCTACGTATTTGATATAATGTTATATGGCTGGACGGTGACTTCGTCTTCGTAGAAATCAAGCGATACTTCCCGATAAGTATTTTTAAATTTTCAAAGAATTTAGATCAATTCACAAAACTGTATGGCATTTGATATAGGATCGCGTGTATTATACCAATTTTAAACTTTCTATCTTGATTATTTACAAAAGATTGTTTATATCTTAAATGAAGCTATTCTGGATGTCAGGTTTTATCATTAACGATCTAAAATTATTTTAGCAATACAAAACTCGAGGTTTAGACCTCGAAGATTTGATAGAACAATTTCGTCGGCAATATTTGCGTGGATATTTCATCACTATGTATGCACGAGCGAAAGTAGTTGCCAAATGTCAGGGTGCAATGGGTGGAGCACGTGACCGTATCAACCGATGATCCTCCTCGCGTGACCCTCTCGACGGCTTCACACTCTCTCCCTCTTTCTCTTCAATTCGATCGATCTCTTCTAGCTAAGAATTCCATCTGAGATCCTTCCTTCCTTCCTTCCTTCCTTATTTTCATCGAACAGGAGAAGAATAGACAGGCGAAGGAGTACGTGTTATGGTGTCCGTCACGAAACATGCGATTGAAGCTTGAATTTTCATAATCTCGGAAAAGTGACGATGGCGTGCGTACGTACCAGTTTCTTCACCATTGGACATTTTGGCAGTTGTTGTCGAGAGTCTCCTATACCGAACTGGACTACGCGAGCAAACAGACTTGGCGACACTATGTCCACCCAGGATCAACGATGGTTTCCTTGGTTCTGTTAAATCGATACATGAACCTCTATGCTATCCGTTATCTAGATTATTTCCTTTTGTAAATTATCTGCGTGTCCCTTAAAATGTAGTTATAGATAAATAGGGTACGAACTTATTACCTTCCTCACTTTCATCTGACTCTAGTAAAAATAATATGTAAAATAATGGACGAAGTTTTGATCAGTATGTCGTTGCTAGCCCATTCGATCGTATCACCTTTAATGACTCTTTCCTGATAAATCTCGTAGATCGAGTTACGAAGATTAAATATACAGATTAAGTATACACGTGTAAAGACTTGAACATATGTCTTCTCTTTGGATTAGTTGTCCTAAAGCTATTTTATTACTCGAACCCTTTTGAATATTTATAATGGACTTCTGATCCTTTTGACAAACCATTTCATCCCTATCTAAAATCTATATTTTAATATAAAAATTATTATTAAATTTTATTTTTTTAAATATTCTATTACAACCCTATTATTTTTGAAGCTCGTTTAAAATAATGAATTAGAGATTTTCGATTTAATAAATTAATACGATATCTTTGTTGAACATAGAAGAATTATTTGAGAATCACTGATACAATTTACAGATTACCGTCTGCGTCTTTTGCAGATGCGCGAGATAATCTTCGAAGAAAGCGCGTGAAGTTTCGTCCATCGTATTTGCGTAGAAAGAAAGAGAGCGAGAGAGAGAGAGCGAGCGAGAGAAAGAGAGAGAGAGAAAGAGAGAGAGGAGGAGAAGTGGGAGAGGGAGAAGAAGGAGTGAAAAAGCTCGAGAGTAAAGCGATGTTGAACATTATGCGCATGCGTATAGTCTGAAGCAACCCTTAGAGTAGGGAGACTTCAGCGCAAACGGGTGAAATACATGATATAGGGTGAAGGAAGGGAAAACAGAGAGAAAGAAAGAAAGAGAGAGAGAGAGAGAGAGAGAGAGAGAGAGAGGCTGCGTAGGTGTAGAAACACAGAGCCCAGAGCTCTGAGGTAGCATGACATTTTTCTGGACTAGCTGTGTCGTTGGTAGTTCCTGGTTGGCTGTCGACTGCCCTCTTCCCCTGAGCTTTGCCTGGGATTCCCTGGTGAATGCTTCTCTCCTCCTCCCATTCCTCTTCTGCCTCCTCACTCCCACCTCTCTCTCTCTCTCTCTTTCTCTCTTCGCCAATTCGAAATATCCATGTGTTGGTACGTTTCGTTTCACACACGCGAGAGTGAATGACTGGTAGAACGCGGGAGATCGATATTCGAAACCCCTCTGCTGTCTGATACTTCCCCTCCTGGCGGAGTCGGCGAGTCCAGTGGCGTAGGAAGAAGGGAACGAGGGCTCGTGAGCGGGTGCAACCAACTCAATGTAACATTGAATCCGAACGAAAGTATCAGAACAAAGAGTAAATTGTGACCATCATAAATTGAACGTTACTTGAGAACGTACTGTTACGATTTATGTGTTGCGTTAGAATATAGAGGTTGATTTTTCAATGTATCCAATCGTGAATTCAATTTCGAATGAAGATTCTTTTTTATATATTAATCTTTTAGCACGGTTGTTCTTTCATCGGGCTTCTCGCGTAGTTATAAGGAAATCGATTAATCTGGATTTGAATTTATTTTTTGGTCAATGCCCTCATTTTAAGATAGGACATCCGATTAGGCCGTTAAAAACAGGAAAAGATATAGAAATTTGGGCGGACCGTAACGACCGGGAAATGATTTTACGAGGGCGCAGGGAACACCCTGTCAAAGGTTCTGCCAATTTTCACTTCGACGTCTGCGCAGACAAGTCTTCGATACTGCGCTCTCCTACTTTTCCTCCTCCTGTTACTACTACTACCAGCTTTCAAGCGCCTCGACGCTCCGAGGTACTTGCAAGCCCTAGTTTCCCCCAAAGCAGACTTCCACCCTACCACGAATCCGTCTGCGCATGCGAATCATCCTCTCCCGTTATTCTTTCTCTCTTTTCTTTTCTCTTTCTTTTTTCTTTTTTTTCTTTTTTTTTCTTTTTCTTTTCTTTTCTTTTCTTTTTTTTTTTTTTTTTAATTCAACGAAAGCT